GTGCGGGAACACAGGCGTAGTCAGGGCTGGAGAGGTGGAATGGTCAGGCCGGCCGTAGGGTTCTGTAACGACTGCCTGGTGGTACCTCTAGCGGTCCTCAGGGCAGGATTCCCCAGGGCGCGGAGTCTAAGCCCCAGTCTGCCTTTTCACCAGGGCCCCTGATGGTGGGGATGGACTTGGCGCAGGACTGAGACCAGGTCGTGGCCCCTGAGTACACCTGCTAGTGGTAGAGGGATCCGCCAGAGGTATGTGCAGGTACGGCTGGATCCGTGCAGGATGGATGGATGGCAGAGTAGTTAGCGTGGTCAGACAAGCCGGGTTTGGTAACGGTGGAGGCAGATCAGTACAGAGCAGCAGGCAAAGAGTAAACGGGTCACAAGCCAAGGTACAGCAACAGGAGGTCAAATAGCATAGGAGTAGGCAGAAGAATAGTCAGGGATGAGCCAGTAGTCAGAACAGGAGACGGTCAACAGAGATCAGGATCAAGCCGGGTCAGCAACAAAGCAGGAACACAGAATACAGGTACAGAGGCTCATGGGAAAACATACACCAAGGCCCAGAGCACAGGCCTGGTCATGGCTTAAATACACCTTTCTGCAATCAGCCCCAGGTTTGCTGATTGCACGTGTGAGCTTCTGGCTGCTGAGAGCACCCGCTGGTCAGCTCTGGTACTGCAGCCCACACGGCAGGCGAGTCCCACCACCAGTGCTGAGTCCATTCCTGACACCACCCCCCCTCTCCCCACAACCAGAGTAACCATTAACTTGGCCTTGTCACCCGTCTCCTGGCTGGTTGACTGCTTTGAACACAATTACTGTAATCATTAGCAGCAGAACTCTAGTTTCCTCTGGACAGAATTCTGTTCGTAAGACCTCTGTACTGTATCTTGTCTAACCGTAGTCCCCCTGATTGTAGGCCCTGTTCCTTTGGTACACCATGCATGCCCCCTTTTAGAGAATTCAGCCCAGGCAATTTAGATGAACAAATACAGATCCATTACTGAGGTAGCTGCAAGTAACAAATAACAGTTCTCAAAGACACCTTCCACACAGTTTCCCATACAAAACTCTCTAGTGCCCCATAAAGTGACTGTAAATTTGGCAGATCACAAAATCCATTAAGCAATCCTTTGAAGGACAAGAGGTAGCAATAGTCCCATAGAGTCCCTGATTTGGCAGTAATCCGTAAAGGCAGTAAGTCCATAGCTGGCAAGTATAGGTCCGCAAGGGTCCACAGGCTCCACTGGGAACCCCAACTGGGATCTAGTCACTACCCTCCCCCAAGGGTGATTACTCCAGCAGAGTGCCAGCTACACCATGGCAGTCATTCCACAGCCAACCCTCAGGGCACCTTGTGAACCCCATCTATATGGTATGACCTGCAGGGGTGGAAACCTTGCTGAAAAAAGCAGGAAAAGCAATCCAAGGACAAAGTACAACATTAAGTCAATGTAACAATTTTCACCTAAATATTAAACAAAAAAGTATACTTAAAAATTCTGTGCTATAGTATATATGTGACTCCCTAATATAGAAGAATCAATAGAACATAAGCAGCCACCTTAACCATTTCCAGCCTGGACACTTTCCCCCCCTTCCAGTCCGGACACTTCCCCCCCCTTCCAGTCCGGACACTTTCCCCCCCTTCCTGTCCGGACACTTTCCCCCCCTTCCAGTCCGGACACTTTCTCCCCCTTCCAGTCCGGACACTTTCCCCCCCTTCCAGTCCGGACACTTTCCCCCCCTTCCAGTCCGGACACTTTCCCCCCCCTTCCAGTCCGGACACTTTCCCCCCCCCTTCCAGTCCGGACACTTTCCCCCCCTTCCAGTCCGGACACTTTCACCCCCTTCCAGTCCGGACACTTTCCCCCCCTTCCAGTCCGGACACTCCCCCCCCCTTCCAGTCTGGACACTTTCACCCCCTTCCAGTCTGGACACCCACTTTCACCCCCTTCCAGTCTGGACACTTTCACCCCCTTCCAGTCTGGACGCTTTCACCCCCTTCCAGTCTGGACGCTTTCACCCCCTTCCAGTCCGGACGCTTTCACCCCCTTCCAGTCCGGACGCTTTCACCCCCTTCCAGTCCGGACGCTTTCACCCCCTTCCAGTCCGGACGCTTTCACCCCCTTCCAGTCCGGACGCTTTCACCCCCTTCCAGTCCGGACGCTTTCCGCCCCTTCCAGTCCGGACGCTTTCCGCCCCTTCCAGTCCGGACGCTTTCCGCCCCTTCCAGTCCGGACACTTTCCCCCCCTTCCAGTCCGGACACTTTCACCCCCTTCCAGTCTGGACACTTTTTTCCCCCTTCCAGTCTGGACACTTTTTTCCCCCTTCCAGTCTGGACACTTTTTTCCCCCTTCCAGTCTGGACACTTTTTTTCCCCCTTCCAGTCTGGACACTTTTTTCCCCCTTCCAGTCCGGACACTTTCCGCCCCTTCCAGTCCGGACACTTTCCCCCCCTTCCAGTCTGGACACTTTCCCCCCCTTCCAGTCCGGACACTTTCACCCCCTTCCAGTCCGGACACTCCCCCCCCCCCCCCTTCCAGTCTGGACACTTTCACCCCCTTCCAGTCCGGACGCTTTCACCCCCTTCCAGTCCGGACGCTTTCACCCCCTTCCAGTCCGGACACTTTCACCCCCTTCCAGTCCGGACACTTTTACCCCCTTCCTGTCCGGACACTTTTACCCCCTTCCTGTCCGGACACTTCCCGGACACTTCCCCCCCCCTTCCAGTCTGGACACTTTTTTCCCCCTTCCAGTCCGGACACTTTCCGCCCCTTCCAGTCCGGACACTTTCCCCCCCTTCCAGTCCGGACACTTTCCCCCCCTTCCAGTCCGGACACTTTCCCCCCCTTCCAGTCCGGACACTTTCCCCCCCTTCCAGTCCGGACACTCCCCCCCCCCCCTTCCAGTCTGGACACTTTCACCCCCTTCCAGTCTGGACGCTTTCACCCCCCCTTCCAGTCCGGACGCTTTCACCCCCTTCCAGTCCGGACGCTTTTACCCCCTTCCTGTCCGGACACTTTTACCCCCTTCCTGTCCGGACACTTCCCCCCCCCCCCCCCTTCCAGTCCGGACACTTCCCCCCCCCCCCTTCCAGTTCCGGACGCTTTTCACCCCCTTCCAGTCCGGACGCTTTCACCCCCTTCCAGTCCGGACGCTTTCACCCCCTTCCAGTCCGGACGCTTTCACCCCCTTCCAGTCCGGACACTTTTACCCCCTTCCAGTCCGGACACTCCCCCCCCCCCCTTCCAGTCCGGACGCTTCCCCCCCCCCTTCCAGTCCGGACGCTTCCCCCCCTTCCAGTCTGGACACTTCCCCCCCCCTTCCAGTCCGGACGCTTCCCCCCCCCCCCCCCCCTTCCAGTCCGGACGCTTTCACCCCTTTCCAGTCCGGGCGCTTTCACCCCCTTCCAGTCCGGACACTTTTACCCCCTTCCAGTCCGTACACTTTCCCCCCCTTCCAGTCCGGACGCTTTCACCCCTTTCCAGTCCGGGCGCTTTCACCCCCTTCCAGTCCGGACACTTTCACCCCCTTTCAGTCCAATCAGTGATCACATGATTGGGACCTCGCAGAGAGGTCCTGTACGACGATCGGTTTTCCACTGTGTCCAGAGGACACAGCGGGCACCGGATCGCGGTGCTGCGTGCTCCCAGGGAGCACGCACAGCTGAAAAATGCGGGTGCCGTTTAGGAATGCCAACCCGCCCCTGGAGTGCCATCGTCCTGCCGTTTAGAAACAGCAGCGGCCCGGACGGGAAGAGGTTAATATTGCAGGCAGAAATATGTTGAATAGTAAAACATAAAAGTGTGGCGCTACATACAGTATAACCAAAAAATTAGTGCAAATATATGGAGTAAATGAAAAGTCCAACATACACATGCGAAGGAGATATAACGTAGAATAAGCCCCTTTAATGGGATATCAATGATGTCATAAATGTTTCAAATCTGGTCAAGAAGATGAAGAAAATCCACCATCACCAACACCCAAAATATTCTGCCTCTTACCAGATGAAATTGACCCCCGGTTAAGGTTGGGTCAAAATGCGCAATACAACCGCATGCCATGAACCTGGACACTTTATGACATCAAAGGATCAAACTGGCCCCCAATGGTAGATTAATAAAACCAAAAACTGGCTGCGATCCGGACACTGGTAGAGCTCCAAACTTTAAATTAAACAGAGAAAATAAACCTGCAGAAAAGATTTATCCTCATAGAGGACAAACCCATTCGAAAGACAAAGAGATCCTCATAGTGTACTAAATTCAGAAAGATTTATTGCCCCGAAGCATAATATAAAACGCACATCAAAGTAATTGATAAAACAGCACGTCACCAAAAAGATGGATGAGAAGTTTCAAACCCATAAAATGGGCCGCCACGTTCCGGTACGTGCTGACGTCACACGCTCTAGCTTCTCCCTACGCGTGTCGTCATGGGTGACATCGTCAGGGGTGTGGCTAGCGTCAGGCCTTTATATAGGGAGGAGGGAGACCATCTCCTCCCCTATTCTAATCAAGGCGTGCACCGGAACAGGAAGAAGAAACCTCTGGCCCAAAGACCGGAAGATACTATACATATTATGCCAATAGTACTCAATCAACAGATCAAGTAAAATCCTCCTGGCTCAACAATCTGCACCTGGCTGATCGAATTAAATTGAAGGCATGAACGCAGCCAGAGAAAACTGTTAACTCTTTAGAACCTCTTGGTACCTTGGTAGACACGTGATTAAAGTTGTCCCAGTGGGAGGTTTTGGGAATTAGGGGCCCCAGATGTAATGTTCAATGTGTTTTGTGGTATCAGTGCATTCTATGAAACCTATACACTCACTGGCCACTTTATGAGCTCCACCTTGCTAGTACCGGGTTGGACCCCTTTTGCCTTCAGAACTGCCTTCATTCTCATGGCATAGATTCAACAAGGTGTTGGAAACATCCCTCAGAGATTTTGGTTCATATCGACATGAGTTACCATCAGGGGCGGACTGACAACTCATGGGGCCCCCGGGCAATAGGGTATCATGGGGCCCCTGTGTCCTTGCCCAAACTCAAAAAGCCTATGAAAAAGGTACCAGGGGCATCTCATGGGGCCCCCTACTGACCCCGGGCCCTCGGGCGCTGCCCGAGTTTCCAAATGGTCAGTCCGCCCCTGGTTACCATGTTGCCTTTCTATGATCTGGAACCATTCTGCCCATTCTCTTCTGACCTCAACAAGGCATTTTCCTCCACATAACTTCCACTCACTGGATATTTTCTCTTTTTTGGACCATTCTCTGTAAACCCTAGAGATGGGTGTGCGTGAAGCTCCCAGTAGATCAGCAGTTTGTGAAAAACTCCTACCAGCCTGTCTGGCACATACAACCATGCCACACTCAAAGTCAATTAAATCTCCTTTCTTCCCCATTCTCATTCTGATGCTCGGTTTGAACTTCAGTAAGTCGTCTTCTCCACGTCTAGATGCCTAAATGCATTGAGTTGCCGCCATGAGTGGCTGATCTGCAATTTGCGATAGCAAGCAATTGGACAGGTGGACTTAATAAAGTGGCCGGTGAGTGTACATCTTTGCTCAAGAGCACGGGTGTCAATCTGGCGGCCCTCCAGCTGTTGCCAAACTACAAATCCCATGTGTGACGGGATTCACTTTGGGTGGGGGGCCCATGGAACACAGCTCACTTTGGAGAGGTGGGGAGACCCCTGTCTCAGCTCCCCATATCCCTCTTATGTGTAAGTCACCCTGTGCCTGTTAGGGGTACAGGGTGATCTGTCCTAATATTGGGGTGGGGGGTTGTTGATTGTTTAATGCCATGTGGTTGCATCCCATTGTTCTATTGTGTGTCTTGCTTGGGAGCAAACTATTATGGGATGTATGTGTTTGTGTGTATTGGCTTGGTGGGGGGTGTTTCCAGCAGCCCTCCCCCCTGATTGGACTGTCTGCTGGTGTGAAGTTTGAATACCTGTGTGTCTCTTGTTACTAAATGTAGATTGCCCCGCCCTGTGTCATTATGCAGGGAGGGGGGCTTCGTCCCCTGAGTGTATAAAAAACCAGTTTCGAGTTTCAAATAAAGAGTTCCAAGTTCAGACAGACTGGTGTCGTCTAGTCTTGTATGGCCGGCGGTGGTGTCTGTGGTCGGTGTTCGGACGGGGAAGTGATAATCTAACGGAATGCAGCGCTATTAATATATCACGAATGGTAATGATGAGACACAGTCCAATAAAAGGTGCTCGTTGATTCCCGGTGCAAATGATAGGAATGCGCACTAACCAGAAGCGTACAGGTAATACGCATGTGAATAAATATCCTGAAGATTCCCCTCTCCTTTCTGGTCTGGTCACGGGAATAGCTGGAAAGAATAAAGATCAGGCAGCTGAAGGAGGGAGAAATCCTTGCAGAGATATACAGCGTTTAAAGGGGAAAGGTGTTTGCAAGAAGTACCCAACATCCATCATATACTGCAGCAATCCTAGTAGGTTCCAGGATATGTGAACCAAAAGCTTATTAAGCCTGTATAATAGGCTTAGAAGGAGCTTCTTCAACCTTTACAGCCCCGAGTGATTCCTGTGTCAGCTCCTGAGAGGGGGAACTATATCTTGGTAGAGATTTCTCTGACCTGCTGGACCACATCTTCACCACACGAGGGCGCTTGATCTTCATTCTTTCCAGCTATTCCCGTGACCAGACCAGAAAGGAGAGGGGAATCTTCAGGATATTTATTCACATGCGTATTACCTATACGCTTCTGGTTAGTGCGCATTCCTATCATTTGCACCGGGAATCAACGAGCACCTTTTATTGGACTGTGTCTCATCATTACCATTCATGATATATTAATAGCGCTGCATTTTTTGTTTTATATATATTTCTTGGGACTTTTATGCGTTTTCCTTGAATGTTCAGCTGCTAATTATTGAGAGCGCTCACTATATTTTTACAATTTTCGATAATCTAACGGAAGTACCCAAACGCAGACTGGGTCGGTTCCGTTACTCCATGAGGCGTTGCAAGATTGACAGTTACAAGCACGATCCCAAAGGCAGAGGCATGATGGGACCCCTGCTCTAGAGAAACTTACAGCGATTTTCATACCAGAACAAAGGGATCAGAATTTTCCGGAAGCTGTGGGGTCGATGTGTTCCTTTGTCTCAGGAGTGTCCTTGGCTGCACTTTCACTCAGGTCTATCCTGTCACTTTAAAACACTAATTTTTACCTCTCTGCTTTAAACATAATGATGCATAAAGAATGGAGGGAGCAGACGTCAGGGGAGGCTTTTAGAGACCGTGGAGGTGAGCAGATCTGACGTCTCTTTTTTTTCACCCGGCTCGTTTGTAACATGACTGGAGGATTTAGACTTTCATTTAGAGTCGTGTAAAATGTGGTCTAAAAAAATCCATTAGTATCTCTGCCAAATTGCTAGGAGCTTCTACCCACAGCCCAGCGCTGAACGCCTGCCAACGGGCTCTCCGCTCCGACCACCTCTGGATGAGCTGCAATCACAGGCTGGATTTCATGCTTCAAAGATGTAAAAATGTTTAACTTCCATTTGGATGAAAATCTCTGGCGTGACGACCCTGACCGACCCCACCTCTACGGCAGCCACATCATTGCAAAGAGACCGCATGCTGGTGGAGATGATATTTATACCGACAGAGGAAGAAGTGCTGCGGTTGTGGGATCAGGACTATTCCCAGGAATCGGAATGGGAACAGCTGAGGAAAATGGAAAAATAGAGCTGGACCCGTAGGGTCATCTCACCGGTATTGGAGTTGGTGATCTGGTTCCCAGGCAAGAGGCTTCTACACCCCAAAGGATCTCAGTGGTCTCCTTGGCTTGTAGTATAGTGTAACAAAAAAATGGAAATTAAAGGATCACACCACTGCTCAGAGGTCCAGCATAGGTGTGCGCAGCCTATTGTGCACCTCAAAGCTCAAACACACATGGGGTTCCCATGGAGGGCTTTGGTGAAAATTATCAGGAGTCTAAACAGACACCCAGGGGCGGACTGACAACTCATGGGGCCCCCGGGCAATAGGGGATCATGGGGCTCCTGTGCCCTTGCCCAAACTCAAAAAAACCTATGAAAAAGGTACCAGGGGCATCTCATGGGGCCCCCTACTGACCCCGGGCCCTCGGGCAGTTTCCAAATGGTCAGTCCACCCCTGCAGACACCTGACGTCTCACTTTTGAGACAGAGAAAGAGATTCCCCACTCCCTTTCTCTGAAGCCTCAGCTGCACTGGACAGCGAATGAATGAAAAGTGCTCTCTGCTGAGCAGCTTCCTGTTCATTCACAAATTGAAGCGTGGTAAATGCAGTTTATTAGGCTTCGGTTATGAATGACCACAGCGAGTGATCAGTATCAATCACTCACTGTGTTCATTCAGAAAAGGAAGGGGCCAGCAAAAGACATACTTCCCCCCGCTCTCCATCCTGGAGCTTCCCCAGAGGGCCCAAGCAACAGGGGGAATCAGCGCCACAGGGGTTGGCACAAGCACTCCTGGCAAGGCCCCCTGTGCACGCCTATGAAGTCCCGGTATAACTTTATTCCAGTAAAAGTCAGGGGGACAAATCAAAAAGTATCTTACATTTTTAAGGAATCTAAGAGCTCCCCCCCCTACATTAAGGTTTGATTGACAACAATGTGAACAAACCAGAAGTGAACTGGACCTTTTATTGGCACTTCCTCCAATGTGGTTGTAGGCAAGAACCTTGTCAGCAGATGGTTAGGCCCAGAAACACCTTGAGATAATATTTCCTGACAGAGGAAGAGGTGTTGTGATTGTACTGTCAGGACTATTCCCCGAAATCAGAATGAGAATATTTGAAGAAAGTGGAAAAATATCACTGGTATTGATGTCGGTGATCTGGTTCCCGGGCAGGTGGCTTCTACACCCCAGAGGATCTCCTTGGCTTGTAGAGTAATGGAACAAAAATGGAAATTGAAGGACCACACCCATGCTAGGAGGTCCAGATACAATTTTATTCCAATAAAAATCAGGGGAACAATACAAAAATTATCCATTGCATTTCAGGGATCTAAGAGCCCTTCGTCAGGGCTTGATTGACAACAATGTGAAGGAACCAGGAGGGTACTAAACCTCTTTTGGTATTTCTTCCAATGTAGTTGTAAACAAGAGCCTTGTCAGCAGATGGTTTGGCCCCAAGTTGCGTTTGATACATTTTGCATTGACTCCCTGACTTTTATTGGAATCAAATTGTATCTGGGCCTCTTAGTAGTGGCGTGGCGTGAAGCTCCCTTTGATTGGGTGTGAAGCTCCCTTTGATTGGGTGTGATGCTCCCGTTGATTGGGTGTGAAGCTCCCTTTGATTGGGTGTGATGCTCCCGTTGATTGGGTGTGAAGCTCCCGTTGATTGGGTGTGAAGCTCCCTTTGATTGGGTGTGATGCTCCCGTTGATTGGGTGTGAAGCTCCCGTTGATTGGGTGTGAAGCTCCCATTGATTGGGTGTGAAGCTCCCTTTGATTGGGTGTGAAGCTCCCTTTGATTGGGTGTGATGCTCCCGTTGATTGGGTGTAAAGCTCCCTTTGATTGGGTGTGAAGCTCCCTTTGATTGGGTGTGAAGCTCCCGTTGATTGGGTGTGAAGCTCCCGTTGATTGGGTGTGATGCTCCCTTTGATTGGGTGTGAAGCTCCCGTTGATTGGGTGTGATGCTCCCTTTGATTGGGTGTGATGCTCCCTTTGATTGGGTGTGAAGCTCCCTTTGATTGGGTGTGAAGCTCCCATTGATTGGGTGTGATGCTCCCTTTGATTGGGTGTGAAGCTCCCGTTGATTGGGTGTGATGCTCCCTTTGATTGGGTGTGATGCTCCCTTTGATTGGGTGTGATGCTCCCTTTGATTGGGTGTGAAGCTCCCTTTGATTGGGTGTGAAGCTCCCTTTGATTGGGTGTGAAGCTCCCATTGATTGGGTGTGAAGCTCCCTTTGATTGGTTGTGATGCTCCCGTTGATTGGGTGTGAAGCTCCCGTTGATTGGGTGTGAAGCTCCCGTTGATTGGGTGTGATGCTCCCGTTGATTGGGTGTGAAGCTCCCGTTGATTGGGTGTGAAGCTCCCGTTGATTGGGTGTGAAGCTCCCGTTGATTGGGTGTGATGCTCCCGTTGATTGGGTGTGAAGCTCCCGTTGATTGGGTGTGAAGCTCCCGTTGATTGGGTGTGAAGCTCCCGTTGATTGGGTGTGAAGCTCCCGTTGATTGGAGATATCCAGTTCCAATTCAGCAGAAGGCATGACAGACATCTGCAGAGAGACCTCTGCTTCTACACAGAGGGCAAGGGTCCTTCTCTGCAGTTTGCTGTGAGTAAGAGGAACACGTGGAGGAACAGAAACCCCAGGAATGGACCTTGTGAATGTAGTGTAGAGGTGACAAGTCCAGATGGAGGCTGGGCAATCGAAAACACATTAGATATGTGGGCACTTACATCTGTAAGGTTGTAAGACACTCAGGTAGGGATCAAGGAACCGATATGCAAAGAATAATATGGTCTCTGCAAGGTGGTTGCACTCAAAGATTGTTACATAAACACATAGTTCCAGCTTGGAAAAATATAACTATGAATATACCATACCTGTGGGATCCCTCTAGAAGCTGGACATCTTTGTATAGACACCACTACTACACTGCTACTACACTGCTACTACACTGCTACTACATCGCTACTACATCACTACTACACTGCTACTACACCACTACTACTACACCACTACTACATCACTACTACACCCACTACTTCACCGCTACTACACTGCTCCTACACCATTACTTCACCACTACTACACTGATACTACACCGCTACTTCACCGCTACTACACTGCTACTACATCACTACTACACCACTATTACACCACTACTTCACCACTACTACACTGCTACTACACCACTACTTCACCACTACTACTACACCATTACTACATCAATACTACACTGCTACTAATGTGATCTTCAATAGCTTTCAGGTCCCATGTCGACTGGCTGCACCACTCCATAGTGAATACAGAAGGTCAGCCTCTCGGCATGGGCACCATTCTGAGAATGCTTTACTTTTTCTCAATGAATGCAAAGCATTCTCTGATTGGACAAAGTGCAGAGCGTAATGTCACCACCCTGCCTCTCCACACTGTCCAATCAGGGAACACTTTGCATTTACTGAGAAAAAAGCAAAGCATTCCCTTAATGGGGCCGGCGCCAAGTGGCTGCTACTTGGACCCAAAAGCTAGTGAAGATCACTGTAGTAGCGGTGTACTAGCAGGATAGTAGTGGTGTAGTAGCAGTGTAGTAGCGGTGTACTAGCAGGATAGTAGTGGTGTAGTAGCAGTGTAGTAGTGGTGTAGTAGTAGTGTAGTAGCAGCACAGTAGCGGTGTAGTAGCAGCATAGTAGTGGTGTAGTAGCAGTGAAGTAGCAGCATAGTAGCAGTGAAGTAGCAGCATAGTAGCGGTGTAGTAGCAGCATAGTAGCGGTGTGTAGTAGCAGCATAGTAGCGGTGTAGTAGCAGCAGCATAGTAGCGGTGTAGTAGCAGCAGCATATAGTAGTGGTGTAGTAGCATAGTAGCGGTGTAGTATCTGTGAAGTGGTGGTGTCTACTACAGCAATATCCAGCTTCCAGGGACATCGGCCAGGTATGGTTATACATAGTGAGAAAAAGCAAAGCATTCCCTGAGTGGCGCTGGCGCCAAATGGCTGCTACTCGGACCCGAAAGATAGTGATGGTCACTGTAGTAGCGGGGTAGTATCCGTGAAGTGGTGGTATCTACTACAGTGATATCCAGCTTTTAGGGACATCAGCCAGGTATGGTTATACATACCGAGAAAAAGCAAAGCATTCCCTGAATGTCTGAGGTGTGAATTGGTCATTGACATATCTTTTGGTTCCAAGGGTGGGAGAGGTCTGAGGTGTGAATGGTCATTAACATATCTTTTGTTTCCAAGGGTGAGAGAGGTCTGAGGTGTGAATGGTCATTAACATATCTATTGTTTCCAAGGGTGAGAGAGGTCTGAGGTGTGAATGCTCATTAACATATCTTTTGTTTCCAAGGGTGGGAGAGGTCTGAGGTGTGAATGGTCATTAACATATCTTTTGTTTCCAAGGGTGAGAGAGGTCTGAGGTGTGAATGGTCATTAACATATCTATTGTTTCCAAGGGTGGGAGAGGTCTGAGGTGTGAATGCTCATTAACATATCTTTTGTTTCCAAGGGTGGGAGAGGTCTGAGGTGTGAATGGTCATTAACATATCTATTGTTTCCAAGGGTGGGAGAGGTCTGAGGTGTGAATGGTCATTAACATATCTATTGTTTCCAAGGGTGGGAGAGGTCTGAGGTGTGAATAGGTCATTACAATGTGTGACAAACTCAGTTGGAACATCCTGTGTTCAGTGTTTTGTCCATTTGAGTACCTTGAAAACACTTTGCATGCATTTTTCATGATGAAAAAAGGCTCCGGACAGCATCGGGAACTGGAAGAGTTAAAAAAAAAAAAATTCAGATGCAAACGCTTATAAACGCGATTTGCCGTGTTTACAAGCGTTTGAAACGCTGATAAAATCGACTGCTGAATGCAAGTTTTCTGCGTTCAAAAAAACAATTGTAAACGCAACTGCCTGTAAAGGACGATGTGTAGACGGACACACAGGAGAACATTAGGGAGAGTTCAGGGGCTGCTGAAAAATGCAGAAAAGCTCCTGAACGTGAGTTTATCGGCTGCAGTGTACATGGGGCCTAAAAGTGCAAAATGTAGCAAAAGGCATGAAATGTGCATCCTGACAGCAGCAATCTGGACACCGGTCAAATGACTCTGTAGCAGGGGCGGACTGACCATTTGGAAACTCGGCACTGCCCGAGGGCCCGGGGTCAGTAGGGGGCCCCATGAGATGCCCCTGGTACCTTTTTCATAGGCTTTTTTGAGTTTGGGCAAGGACACAGGGGCCCCATGATCCCCTATTGCCCGGGGGCCCCATGAGTTGTCAGTCCACCCCTAGCGCCTTGCCTAAATGCCGATCCCCAGCTACAGCATGGTGAAGCCAACGATCGATCTCGTATCCTGGTTAGAGCCAACGTTTTGCCTCTCGTAGAACGCATGGCAAATAAATATTGCAGCTGAAATCCCTCAATCGCCTACGGGGGGGTCGTATTCCGGCGGCGGGTCTGTTTTTAATC